TGTTCAAATTCATATATAATTTGTTGTTGGGCGTACTTTTGGTGCATTTATCGCATTCATATTTTCTATTTGCTACAGCTTGATCTCTTTGACATTAAACTGTTTTGTTTGTACCAAACCCATTGGCAATATTTGGATTGTAATATCCATGATTACTTTTAGTGAGGCTGCTAATTTTAACAAATTTAGCATTCTTACATATTTTTCAGGATAATCCTTTTAGGCCCAAGCTAAAAAATAGCAATGCACTTGAGTCTTTTGGCAGTCTGAGAAGTAAAAAGGTATGTAGTATGGTCTGCCATGTTGAGTATGCTTAATGCTTTGACGATCCATGAATATTCGGATCAAATAGGAACCACTTGTTTGAAATTTTGATGGAATTAACATTTGAACACCTGTATTTTAATTTTTTCTAGGTATTTTCTACTGACCCTCTTCCCCTCCCCTCCCTCGTTTCTCAAAATAGATAAACTTCTTTAGTATGAGTGTTCAAAATAACAAGCAATCAATACTTATCTTGATGACCATGTGGTGAGTCTAACTTGAATAATCTGATTCCCATCCTATTCAAAGCATAATGGTATACTCAGATGAAGTCAATGACTAAATTAAGTTTTTTAAACAAATTTCTTATAGTATAGAAGAAAAGAATGTTTTGAAAGTTAGTGAATAACTATTATATAAATAGGGGCGAGAGAGAGAGAGATTTGATTTTTGTCTATTCTTTTTTCGTATGTTGATTATTGTTGTCATGTTGCAGACATCAGCTAGATGGGATCCAGTTGAAGCATGTCGGCCTATTATTGATGAAGCCCCTGTGTTTTATCCGACTGTTGAAGTACTTGTTATTATTACCATCCTCATATTGTTGCTTTTGTGGTAGTCATATTGTATTTTGAGTAAATCTGGTTTCTTATTTTTACTCTTCTTATTTAGGAGTTTGAAGATACACTCAGTTACATAGCAAAGATACGTCCCCATGCTGAACCCTATGGCATATGTAGGATTGTCCCTCCACCTTGCTGGGTTCCACCTTGCCCTCTTAAGGAGAAGGATCTATGGGAAAATGCATAATTTCCCACCCGTACTCACTATTTAGATTTACTTCAAAATAGGGAACCTATGAGGAAAAAAAGTAGGGGAAAAAAACGAAAACGTAGAAAGCACTCCAAAACAGGCGCATGCAGAGTCTTGCCAATTCAGCTTCTGGAGCTAATAATGCTTCTGAATCTGATGAGAAATTTGGATTTCAATCAGGGTTGGACTTCACGCTTAAAGACTTTCAGCAATATGCTAATTTTTTAAAGGAATGCTACTTTGGTTTGAAAGATACCAATGAAGATGGAAAACTTAGTGATTGTAACCACCAAAAGAGAGGGGAGCCCTCTGAGGTGGAAATTGAAGGTGAATACTGGCGAATAATTGAGCAACCAACTGATGAGGTTGAGGTATTAATCATCTCTTTTTGACAACTATGTTGGTCTTTACTGTCACATAATTTTGCAATAGTATACATATGATTCTGTGATATTGTAGGTGTATTATGGAGCTGACTTGGAAACTGGAGCACTTGGAAGTGGTTTTCCTAAGACATCATCCTTAACTAAGAGTGATTCAGATCAGTATGCCCTGTCTGGATGGAATCTAAATAACTTCCCGCGACGGCCAGGTTCTGTACTTAGTTTTGAAGGAAGCGACATCTCAGGAGTTCTAGTGCCATGGCTGTATGTTGGCATGTGCTTTTCGTCATTTTGCTGGGTAAGTGGTTAGAATTACTTTTTTCCATGTCAAAGGAAAAGTTTAAGACTGACATGGAATATTACCAATTTTCATTTTGCCTCAATTCTTTGTATGTATCTCTTTGTAGAGTGTTATATGAGTTTAAGTTAAGTTTCATGAAAGTTGGGTTGAAACTTTTAACATTCGTTGTTTAAAAAAAAAACAATTCCCCGTTAAACCCGACTAGCGAGTGTGGGGTGGAGGAAATTCTTGTACGCAGTCTTACCCTTGCATAATTGTATAGAGGCTGTTTCCTGGATTCGAACCCATGACCTTTCAGTCACGAAAGAACATGACACAATAAATATCTAGAAGTAACCGAGATTATAGAGGGGATGATTGGTTCATGATATAGTATTAGATCCTTTAAAACCAAGTGGTCTTGAATTCAATCCTTATTGAGTCCATTCTTCTATTAAAAAATGAAATTTAGTACAAGGTAGGTGGGCCGGTCAATTATCCATGCTTCAACCCGAAATGGTTTTTGTGTGAGGAGACATGTTAGAAATGTAATATAAAACCATTCATGTGTCTTCGCAACTTAAGTTTTTGGGATAGTTGATTCATGACAATATGTCGTGGTCTTGAATTTTGCATTTCTTTCATTTCAAATACTAACATTTTCTCGAAAGATAACACACTGTCATTGGAACAGCATGTTGAGGATCATCACCTTTATTCGCATAATTATCTGCACTGGGGTGACCCAAAAGTATGGTATGGAGTACCTGGATGCCATGCTTCGGTTTTTGAAGATTCAATGAGGAAGAACTTGCCTGATTTATTTGAGGAACAACCAAATCTACTCAATGAACTGGTAGAATGCTACAACTTGTACTTTCCTTATTGCTTTCAATTTTTGACTAGTATTTTGAGTTATTGGTTGCTTTAGTGATACTTTGTTGTTTCCACATAGAGAATTCATGAATGCAATGAGATTTTTGTTGATGCAAAACATATATTCTATGGGTGCAGAGTGCTACGAATGCTCAACGCACTTATGGAAGTTAAGAAAACTATAATCATGATAACTTTTTGATCGGTTGAAGGTGTAATCAGTCTGGTGTAAGATCCCTTTATATGTATGAATGTAAAGTGGAAGCTATAGTAATTAGGTATTAAATTATATGTATTGGTTAATGCATGGCCAGAATGCTGTTGAGCTTTACAGTTTGCAATGCCGTAAGACATCATTGTCACACGACAAGCTGTTATTTGGATCAGCAAAGGAAGCTGTACGAACCCTTGCACAACTAGCTCTTTTTGGAAAGGAAACTCCAAAAAATTTGAATTGGAGAAGTGTGTGTGGGAAAGATGGAGTTCTTACAAAGGCAGTTAAGGTAATGATTCTCTCATTCTCTCCTCTTTGATCATATTATACCCACATCTGCAAATTTTGAAAGCTCCATAAAGTTTTGGAACTAATTTGTTTGTTAATTAGTTTTAGTCACCGTGCAGATATCTAATTCTTGTTACCCTTATTTTTTACAGACAAGAGTAAAGATGGAAGAAGAGAGGCTAAACTGTCTTCCAACTCATTTTTAAGTTGCTGAATATGGACAGTGGGTTTGATTTGGACAAGGAGAGAGAATGCTTCTTTTGTTTCTATGACTTGCACCTATCTGCTGTAGGTTGTGATTGCTCTCCTGACAGATATTCTTGTCTTAAGCACACAAATTTGTTCTGCTCATGCGGAACGGACAAAAGATTTGTTCTGCTTCGATATACTATAAACGAGGTAAATAAATTGATTGAAGCATTAGGAGGAGAATTGCCTGCTATCGAGGTGTGGGCAATGAAGTTTAAAAATGAAAAACATAAAAAGCGCGCAGAAATCCACCATGAGCTCCATGCAGTTCCCAATAGAGGTGTCTCCGAACGGCTGCGATGGGGAGGCAGTGGAGTGGAGATCGATGGCGGTGGTGGTGGCTGTGGTGATTGTGAGCATTGTGAGGAAGATCAGGAGGATAAGGAGAAGGGAGCGAGGGGAATTGTTGTTTTCCATCAGAGAGAGAATAAAGAGAGAGTGAGGGTTTGGGTTGTGTAGTTGAGTTTCTTGCTTTAGAAAGAAAGAAATAGAGGTTTCTTGGGTTTTATTATTTGTGAACAGAGAGGTTGGGTGTGAATGAATGAATGAATGATGGTAACTAAGAGGAAGGGTTTTCTTTCTTTTTTGTTGCTCAACTTGTTGAATAAGAGCGCAGTAGAAATATCAAAGATGTGTTTTTTAAAATATTTTTTAAGATAATGATTTATATGAAAAAACTTTAAAATAAAAGTGAAATGGTATAAAATATATTTTGATACAAGATATGAGTGTTTTTTTCCAAGTTATAAGATAATCAGAAACAAAAGAGTTAAACGTTAATATCAAAATGTAAAAAAAAAAAAAAAAACACCTATTATTTGTGTAAATAAATAATCAATATTTTTTTATCTTGGTATTTAGTTAAGATATTTTTATAAATATTCTGTAAAATTAACGTTAATATCAAAAGAATATGTTGCTAAAAATACAAAACAACTTTCCTGGGTTTTTTTTAACAAAGAAATTTCCCATAATAATTATTCAAAATTAGCCATGCCCAAGATATTTACGTAGTGCATTACTTATAAGACAAATGATATATTAGACATTTGTACCTAACAAAAGTCTAGAATTCTGAATTACTGTTTATTGAATAGATATTTTTTAATTGAGAAAAATATAATAAAATATAAGTTAAAAAGAATTTGAATAAAAATATTTCAAATTATAAAAAGTACGTGTGAGCTGTATACAATCCGTAATTAATTTGATTTTGATTGTGTTAGCAATTATAGAAATTAATTGTAAATAGAATTGATTGATAGGAGACATCAATTCTCCGAGTAATTAATTTGATTTTGATTGTGTTAGCAATTATATGAATTAATTGTAAATAGAATTGATTGATAGGAGAGATTAATTCTCTGATTTTAATATTATTTTTTAGAGTGATTTGTGGCTTGATTGAAGCCCAAAATTAGTGTATATAATTACCTCTCTACAAAAGAAGAAATACACAGATTCCATTGTTCAACAATATGTTGTTTTGTGATGAAAATCGTTTAAAAATTTACTTTTTTAGCTTTGATGAAGCTCTCCTAGCGAAACCCGGTTTCGAGCGGGTAGACCCGCCAAAAGAAGAAAAAAACTAAAATAATCTTTTAAATTCTTAATCAAATATTAAGTGATTTTTTTCAATCCTTCAAAATCATAATTAAATATTAGTAGATTTTTTTTGCAATTACAAAATTCTTTAAAATTTCAATCCATAGAAAATCTTTCCAAATTAGTACCCTCTCTCTTTATATATATTAGTAGTATATGTCTATTTTATTTAATTACTCTTCACAGACCTCAATCCATTACTCTCTCCTTCCCTCTGAAACTGCGAATTCCTTTTTTACTCTTCACTCTCTCGTCTACTGCTATGGCAGAACCATCCACCGCCGAAACCACCTCCGCCAGCGATGCTCATCCGCCGGCGCCGGCGCCGGCTTCCTCGTCGCTCAACGTCGTCGGATTAACGAGCGACGAGAACAAGAAGCCTTCTCCCAAGTTCTTGGACGAGCCTGAAGACTCCAACATCCAAGCGGTTGGTTCGATCCCCATTCCCGATTTCTCTTTTCTCTCTTTCTCGGCGAGAAATTGACGGTTTATGGTTTTGAATTTCGGTGCAGGTTTCGTCCGGCGACACTCCGTACACGTCAGCTACCACCTTCGAAGAATTGAATCTCTCACCGGAGCTTTTGAAGGGACTCTACGTGGAGATGAAGTTCCAGAAACCTAGTAAGATCCAAGCCGTAACCTTGCCTATGATCTTGAATCCTCCGAATAGGGATTTGATCGTACACGCGCATAACGGTTCCGGAAAAACCACGTGTTTCCTTCTTGGTATGCTTAGTCGAGTTGATCCAAAGTTGCAGGCTCCTCAAGCTTTCTGCATTTGCCCAACCAGGGAGTTGGCTATTCAGGTAAGGTTCTAAGACATTGCTTTTTTAAATCGACATATAATCTTATTCTATCATGGATTAAATAACCCATAACTAAGAATGCAATAGCTGGTGGCCCCATACTTCCGGAAGAAAAGCTATATCCCTCCAAAGGGATATCTGATCGTGAGCCCTAGAAGTTTTTCTTTTTTCTTCTTTTTTTTTCCGTTGTTTTTTTTAGGCTAAATTACCTAAAACCACCTTGAATTTAGGTGGTGTTTCAAAAAACTACCCTAAACTTTAGATTGATGCAATTAACCCACCTATACTATCTCATTCCAACAATTAAACATATCTATTAAATTTACATTAAACGTCGTTAAGTAAATATTAAACACCTTTGAGTAATCCGTGCATCTGAGTAATTATTCGAAGGGTGACTTAGTCATGGATATGGGGACATATGAATTGGTTTGTGCAGAGTATTTAGGATCTGCAGTTGTAGAGCCAGCTTGGTTGAACTATTTCAGGGAATGGGGTCCAAAAACTGATTACAGTATAGATGATGAGTTGAAGATGGTGGAGAAGTTGTTGCCTGGGAAGCTAAAATCTGCTTTTGAAAATTTTGTAAAGAGTTTACCAAAGGAAGTGCTGGGAGCGGAAGGACCCACAGGTCCAAAGGTGAAGAATAATTGGAGTGGTGATGAAGCATGAACATTGTAGCTTCAGTTACATTTATTCTCATGAACTTCAAAATTGATTTACAATAATGTTATTGGGTTCAATTGCATAAGTGGTTTCAATTTGAGTTTAATTGGAGAGAGACAAAAAAGTCAAATGAAACCAGCAATAGCTTTAAACTAGTACAGAACCTTATCAATTCTCCGTATACCAAATCAATATCAATTTTGATCCTTTCATTTTCCTTATTCAGAGATTTTTTTAAAAAAAAATAAGCAACATTACTTGGACCCACCATTATTTGTATAGGATATATTAAACTTGTTTTAATATCTATCTCTCAAAACATTAGAAGAAACAGAAGAAGATTGAAATATAGCTATGAAAACTTTTTTGTAATTTTAATATTAAACTGTCTATTTGCAAAAAGTTATGTTTTTTATCACACATGCAGCTGTAATTTTTTTTTCACAAACCACATGGGTATATGTGATAAAAAAAAATCTCAAGGCATAGGTAATTCTAAAACAAACCATTTACTGCAAAATCACCTATGCCTTTGATTATTTTTTATCACTCGTGTGGTTTGCAAAAGTATATGTTTTTTTATCTGCTCCCGTGATTTTTTACTTTTACAAACCATGGAACATATGTCATAGGTGATTCTAAAGCAAAACAGCTTCGGTGAACTTTCCTGTTTGTTTTTTTTTATTCGTTTGTTAATCACTGTTATCGAACTTTTCCTCGTGATTTTTTTATTTTTTACAAATCAATGGGACATATGTGATAAAAAACACTGGGCCATAGATGATTCTAAAACAAACCGGCATTGGTGAACTTTCCTTTTTTTTTATTCGTTTGTTAATCACTGTTATCGAACATTGTGATTTGTGACTGTGTTAGTTGTAGCTTGATGATTATTGTGTTGTGTGGCAGAATACTGAAGTTCTCCGAAAGATGGGAAAGTACACGGGGATTAGCTCAGAATGTGCTATACCAGCAGACAGTAGGGATGCTTTGCCGATAGCGAAACGGGCACCGATTATGGCTCAAGTGGTTATTGGGACCCCTGGCACGATTAATAAGTGGATGAATTATAAGAAACTTGGGGTGACAAGGTTGAAGATTCTTGTTTTTGATGAGGCTGATCAAATGCTTGCTAAGGTAATTCTATCGTGATAATGAAATGTTGTTTATTTAGAATTTGAGGTTTCATTGTCCTTGGACTAGGCAAGCACATAGCCTTATCATTCTCCCTGAGCTTATTATTGTTACAATCTTTTGGGGAGTTGGCAACACCCTTGTGTTTTAATAGAATAAGTTACAATTAAATGGTAAGTTGTGACTCTCCTCCTTTAATGATGGATAAAGAGGAAGAGTGCACTAGTAGACCGCTTGTTTTAACTTTTAACTCTTGATAATATATATCTTTTTCTAGTTAGTAATTACTCTCTAGTAAGTATTCTAGAGATCCTAGGACCTAGTTTTAGGTTCAGGGAATTGTTATGGTTTACTGAATTAGTATTGTGATTTTCTTTTGTTTTTTAAAGCAGAGGTATTCGCAGTTCGGTTTCTAAATATGTTGTGCCCTAACTTGCTTAATTACTGTAAACTTTGCAGGATGGATTTAAAGATGATTCCCTGAGGATAATGAAAGGAATAGAAAAATTCAATTCTAACTGTCAGGTTTGTTGAACTCTTTCTTGCGTAGTGTGCTTGTGTGCATGGCATTTTCATCCATCCAAGAAATTCTGGCATAGACTTAGTCTACAAGTTGCATAGCCTAAGCTAAGTACACACTGACACATCGTCATTTTACATTAAATAACTACATGATATATGTGTCAATCTACTACTTTTAAAATGATAATGTATTAGTTTATGTTTTGGTTTTATTTATATGACTTGTGTAGATCAAATCTATGCAAGAATTTATCAATCCATAGGGACAACACATCCATGTATACATGTTGTTTAAATTACCGTCACCCATCCTTCAACCTGTTCGGGTAGAACACCTTCCAATTCATGGAAGGTCATGCTCTCCCTGAGCCCTTGTGCAACTTGTGAAGTATATTTAAAAGAGTAAAGTGATTCATTCATCTTATAAGAACAGAAAAAAGTATGAGGAATTTTTTACGTAGTACATCATGCTCAATCAAATAATATTGCATAGATATGAAGATTGAATGTTAATTTGATTGATGCTAATGGTTTGCTATAATTTAATTTGAATCTATGTAGAATGGAATTATAACTGTTCCTTGTTATTTTTGTGCACCATAACCATTGCGTCTGTACTTAAATGAACATTTTACCAAGATTGGTTGCTTTGTATGTGATTCAAATGTTGTGTGTGCTTGTATGTGATGTAGTTTTTTTTTAGTTTCTTTTCTTATCTAAGAAGATTTTGATTGACTTGTGTATGTCTAGGTTCTTCTGTTTTCTGCTACATTGAATGACATTGTCCAGAATTTTGTTTCGAGGACAGTTAAGCAGGATTATAATACACTTTTTGTGAAGGAACTATCTTTAGATGCCGTAAAGCAATATAAAGTTCATTGTCCTGATGAACTCTCTAAGATTGAAGTGAAAAAAGAATACATACTCGAAATAGAAGAGAATCTGGGGCAAACTATAATATTTGTGCGCACAAGAAATAGTGCAAAAATGTTACATAAATCACTTGTTGTCGCTCCTGTTGTCGCTCCCGTCGCCCCAAGTAAGGGAGTCGACAAGGGAAAAAGGAAAGTGGTGAACATTGTGCAGGAGAATGCCCAGAGTTTGGCGGTCAACCCTTCTGCACCTGAAGTTATTCCTCCTAAACCAACGGCTTCTGGAAGGAAGAGGGTTGCTAGCGAGGATTTAAGCTCGCCTAAAGGAGCTAAAAGGGTTAGGGTGGAGCCGACTGAGTCTGGTCAATCAGGTGGTAGTCTCTCGTTTGCCATGGAGAGTTTCTGGCGGTGATGACATGGTGGTGGTCGATACTCCGGACAGGGCGGGGGTACCTGGCGACTGCCCCTGTTGTCAGCTCTATCCGTCGCCCTAATCCTGATTTAAACGTGTTGGTACCACAGCAAATTAATCGCCAAGACATAATTGACTGCGCACAGGTAATGATCGGTCAGATTGTGGGAACCCGGGAGGCTACTCTTGCTGTTGACAACCGTTGTTCTACCCAGCATGATGACTTGGTACAGAAAGGGCGCAAGATTGAGTCCTTAACGGCCGAGATCAGGCGGTTGGGTAAGGAAATTAGTGACCTGAAGGCAACCAATAAAACGCAGGAGAAGGATGACTTATCAAAGTTATTGGATGAGTCTTCAACCGAGAAAAAGGGGCTCCAGGCGGCGAATAGCCAGTTGACTGCCGAGAAAGCTGCCCTTCAGTCGGAGAAGGATGCGTTATCTGTTGAGTTGACTGGCGTATGTGGTAACTTGCATGCCGCCCAAGAGGATTTTAAAAAAGCTTCTGGGCGAGTACAGGAGCTGGAGCTTGCCTTGCCTTCAGTTTTTTATGATTCTTTTAACAACGCCCTGAATCAGGTTCAATTTCGATATCCTAAGATAGATGCTTCGGGCTTGAGTGCCGATTATGTGGTGGAAGGGAAACGCCTGCTTCATAAACTCTATAATGGCGAGACGACTGTGATACAGGAAGGGCCTGACTCTGATGAGGAAGAGGATGATGTAGAGGAAGAACCAGCCAAGTTCGGTGACTCACCTTTAGGCGACCACCATGTGCTGAGCGGAGAGCAACCCGTAGATGGCGAACCTACTGACGCCGTAGAGATCCGTAGAGATCCCGTCGTGCGGATCCCATCGTTGGCGATGGTGTTATTGGCAACACTTCCTTTGGAAGGTATTGGTGAGGAAGCTTCATCTAGGAATAACGTTGAAGACACTGCTGGGGAGGACGCCACTGAGGGGGTCTCCCAAATTTTTCTTTTTAGCTGAAGAGGGAATCCCTACTTGAAGATTGCCCAACTTAATTTTTCTTTTTAACAACTATCTGTGTTTGCCATAGTTGATTCGCCACTGTAGAATTGTACTTGTTATTAATCAATGGATAACCTTTCTTTTGGCAACTTCAACGCTTGATTATTGATAAATGTGTAATACGCTTATTTTATGCACGCTAAATGTGTATACTGTTCAAAATATCTGTGTTCGTTTATTTCTATCTAATGTTAAATATACATCTGAGAGATTTTATATATTTCTTTATTCTTTATTGATGACCCTTGCCATTAAGGATAGAAATTTTCACTAGAGACCAAAATTTGAGCATGCTCTACCAAATTCTCTTACGGATTCATTATGGCACAAAAGATGTTGGCACTTCAATCTCTGTTGCTTAAATTTTATGCATGATAAAGACTTGATGAAGAATGTGTATACTGTTCAAAATACTAACTGTGTTCGTATATATGTTCTACCACTTCAGAAATTGATAAATATACATCTGAGAGATTTTATATATTTCTTTGGGGAATAAATCTCTGTTGCTTATTTATGCATGATAAAGACTTGTAACTTTAAAATACTAACTGTGTTCGTATATATGATGTATCTACTGTGCACCTAAACGACACTGTTTCGTCTTTTTTTTTCTAATTTAAACGAATTACTTGTCGTGCTTCCGTCTTCGTTCACCTTCTCGGTTTCTTCATAAACTATAGTCATCGCATCGCTATTTTTTCTTGCACTTCCTTACATATCGTGCTTCCGTTTTCTTTGCAACAATGGCGTCCCTGCAGAATTCTCCTACACTCCACCAAACCATCTTTCGCAACTCTTTTCCCCAGGTACTCTCTTATGCTTTAATTTGGTAATTTGATTCATTTTTCTCTGTTTCTGACATGTGCCATTGTTACAGAAGCATGGTACTTTTCATTCATCTAGAAAGGAAGGCTTTTCGTTCATTATCAAAGCAGCCCAAGAACCTTCATCTTCTTCAACTGGGTTGCTTTCTCAAGGTTTGTGATTTTTTTTTCGTGGTCTCTTGAGCTTGAATTCACAGCTATCATTATCTTATAAGAAGTTATGCGTATAAGACCCTGCGCAGGTAAAGATCATGAAGCATTTTGTCTTTTGTTTTTTTCCTGCTATTGAACTGGCCTCGTTTAAGCGGCCTTTATGAGAACATTTGGTAAGGTCATTAAACTTGTATGTAGAAAATTGATTGGAGTAGGTAAATGAAGAATTGCTTTCCATGTAAACAACTAAGGGAATTTTATTTATTCTGCTGTCAATATTATGTAATATATATTCATAGCAGTTGTCCTTATAAGGTTTGAAGTTTTGGAATTGAATATGTTAACTGCACGTACTTTGATGCAGATTCAATGGTAGTCTGTAGCAGAATGAAATATGACCCCTTTTTCAAAAAAAAAACATGACCCTTCTTCCCCTTTTCTCTATTGTACTCTCAGATAATTTCATCAGCCTCTGAAACAGACATTTGTTCCATTGCCAAATGGCAAATACCTTGGTTCTATCACGTGCAATTCTGATGGTTGAACATATATTAAAAGTCATAAATTTAAATCCTTTTAAATTTGATAACAGAAAGTACATACTATACATAGTACAACTGTAATCTGAGCATACACCTACTTTATGTAGCTAGTATCCTCCTTTTTCCACCGCTTCCCATTTCTGATACATGAGAACTAACCTTTTTTCCAAATTGGTTGAAATTTCAGAGGCCATCTTCATTTTTTTTTGGTTTAGCTTGCAGAAAGGACATCTTCATTTTCTTTGAGGAAGCTTATGTGATCAGAGAGGTCCTCCTTGCAACTTCAGTCAAATATAAGACTTGTTTCTGGTATCAGCTACTAATACCCAACCAGTATAAGCAAACAAAGGACATCAAATTTTTATAACTTATTTTAGGATATTAGATTGGACTTATTCTGTGATTGGGTTACTATTCTGTTTTTAGTAGGAACTTTGGAATTTGACTCATGATTTTGAGTTTTTGTAATATGAATGCATGACTATATCTATTATATTTTAAAGTTTGATTTTTGTGTTCAAATTCATATATAATTTGCTGTTGGGCGTACTTTTGGTGCATTTATCGCATTCATATTTTCTATTTGCTACAGCTTGATCTCTTTGACATTAAACTGTTTTGTTTGTACCAAACCCATTGGCAATATTTGGATTGTAATATCCATGATTACTTTTAGTGAGGCTGCTAATTTTAACAAATTTAGCATTCTTACATATTTTTCAGGATAATCCTTTTAGGCCCAAGCTAAAAAATAGCAATGCACTTGAGTCTTTTGGCAGTCTGAGAAGTAAAAAGGTATGTAGTATGGTCTGCCATGTTGAGTATGCTTAATGCTTTGACGATCCATGAATATTCGGATCAAATAGGAACCACTTGTTTGAAATTTTGATGGAATTAACATTTGAACACCTGTATTTTAATTTTTTCTAGGTATTTTCTACTGACCCTCTTCCCCTCCCCTCCGTTTCTCAAAATAGATAAACTTCTTTAGTATGAGTGTTCAAAATAACAAGCAATCAATACTTATCTTGATGACCATGTGGTGAGTCTAACTTGAATCATCTGATTCCCATCCTATTCAAAGCATAATGGTATACTCAGATGAAGTCAATGACTAAATTAAGTTTTTTAAACAAATTTCTTATAGTATAGAAGAAAAGAATGTTTTGAAAGTTAGTGAATGACTATTATATAAATAGGGGGAGAGAGAGAGAGATTTGATTTTTGTCTATTCTTTTTTCGTATGTTGATTATTGTTGTCATGTTGCAGACATCAGCTAGATGGGATCCAGTTGAAGCATGTCGGCCTATTATTGATGAAGCCCCTGTGTTTTATCCGACTGTTGAAGTACTTGTTATTATTACCATCTTCATATTGTTGCTTTTGTGGTAGTCATATTGTATTTTGAGTAATTCTGGTTTCTTATTTTTACTCTTCTTATTTAGGAGTTTGAAGATACACTCAGTTACATAGCAAAGATACGTCCCCATGCTGAACCCTATGGCATATGTAGGATTGTCCCTCCACCTTGCTGGGTTCCACCTTGCCCTCTTAAGGAGAAGGATCTATGGGAAAATGCATAATTTCCCACCCGTACTCAGTATATTGATTTACTTCAAAATAGGGAACCTATGAGGAAAAAAAGTAGGGGAAAAAAACGAAAACGTAGAAAGCACTCCAAAACAGGCACATGCAGGAGTCTTGCCAATTCAGCTTCTGGAGCTAATAATGCTTCTGAATCTGATGAGAAATTTGGATTTCAATCAGGGTTGGACTTCACGCTTAAAGACTTTCAGCAATATGCTAATTTTTTTAAGGAATGCTACTTTGGTTTGAAAGATACCAATGAAGATGGAAAACTTAGTGATAGTAACCACCAAAAGAGAGGGGAGCCCTCTGAGGTGGAAATTGAAGGTGAATACTGGCGAATAATTGAGCAACCAACTGATGAGGTTGAGGTATTAATCATCTCTTTTTGACAACTATGTTGGTCTTTACTGTCACATAATTTTGCAATAGTATACATATGATTCTGTTATATTGTAGGTGTATTATGGAGCTGACTTGGAAACTGGAGCACTTGGAAGTGGTTTTCCTAAGACATCATCCTTAACTAAGAGTGATTCAGATCAGTATGCCCTGTCTGGATGGAATCTAAATAACTTCCCGCGACTGCCAGGTTCTGTACTTAGTTTTGAAGGAAGCGACATCTCAGGAGTTCTAGTGCCATGGCTGTATGTTGGCATGTGCTTTTCGTCATTTTGCTGGGTAAGTGGTTAGAATTACTTTTTTTCCATGTCAAAGGAAAAGTTTAAGACTGACATGGAATATTACCAATTTTCATTTTGCCTCAATTCTTTGTATGTATCTCTTTGTAGAGTGTTATATGAGTTTAAGTTAAGTTTCATGAAAGTTGGGTTGAAACTTTTAACATTCGTTGTTTAAAAAAAAAACCATTCCCCGTTAAACCCGACTAGCGAGTGTGGGGTGGAGGAAATTCTTGTACGCAGCCTTACCCTTGCATAATTGTATAGAGGCTGTTTCCTGGATTCGAACCCATGACCTTTCAGTCACGAAAGAACATGACACAATAAATATCTAGAAGTAACCGAGATTATAGAGGGGATGATTGGTTCATGATATAGTATTAGATCCTTTAAAACCAAGTGGTCTTGAATTCAATCCTTATTGCGTCCATTCTTCTATTAAAAAAGGAAATTTAGTACAAGGTAGGTGGGCCGGTCAATTATCCATGCTTCAACCCGAAATGGTTTTTGTGTGAGGAGACATGTTAGAAATGTAATATAAAACCATTCATGTGTCTTCGCAACTTAAGTTTTTGGGATAGTTGATTCATGACAATATGTCGTGGTCTTGAATTTTGCATTTCTTTCATTTCAAATCCTAACATTTTCTCGAAAGATAACACACTGTCATTGGAACAGCATGTTGAGGATCATCACCTTTATTCGCTTAATTATCTGCACTGGGGTGACCCAAAAGTATGGTATGGAGTACCTGGATGCCATGCTTCGGTTTTTGAAGATTCAATGAGGAAGAACTTGCCTGATTTATTTGAGGAACAACCAAATCTACTCAATGAACTGGTAGAATGCTACAACTTGTACTTTCCTTATTGCTTTCAATTTTTGACTAGTATTTTGAGTTATTGGTTGCTTTAGTGATACTTTGTTGTTTCCACATAGAGAATTCATGAATGCAATGAGATTTTTGTTGATGCAAAACATATATTCTATGGGTGCAGAGTGCTACGAATGCTCAACGCACTTATGGAAGTTAAGAAAACTATAATCATGATAACTTTTTGATCGGTTGAAGGTGTAATCAGTCTGGTGTAAGATCCCTTTATATGTATGAATGTAAAGTGGAAGCTATAGTAATTAGGTATTAAATTATGAGTAAGAGAGAGAAATTATCAGTTATTATCCCTAAGAACTGAAGCTCACTTTAGATTCTGACCAACTATGCTGCTAGTGTGTTTGGGAAAAAGTGGTGACTGAGAGTTGGCATCATCTTAACGACTTGATGGTTCCTCATGACAAATATCCCTTATGATGCATGCTGTATGAACATAAACTTTCAGCTCTGTTATTGCTGCAGTGATGTTCACTCATATCAATGTGTCTATAACCTTTCCCTCCTTTGGCTGAATTTTGATATTTGTATTTCTACTAATAATGATAACCCTAGTTTATATCCAGAAGTCCCCAGTGCATGTGTTCAGTTCTTATAGAAGTGTTAGATATTTTAGCATTCTATGTACAGTACATAGCTTCTAAGTTTGCGAATTTTATTCTGATTTTAATGGTTATGATTTTCTTCTTTGAGCAGGTTACTCAGTTATCTCCTTCAATTCATAAATCTGAGGGAGTTCCTGTGTATCGTACTGTTCAGCATTCTGGGGAATTTGTTATTACCTTTCCAAGGGCATACCACTCTGGCTTCAATTGTGGCCTTCAATTGTGCAGAGGCAGTGAATGTGGCTCCTGTTGATTGGTTAATGCATGGCCAGAATGCTGTTGAGCTTTACAGTTTGCAATGCCGTAAGACATCATTGTCACACGACAAGCTGTTATTTGGATCAGCAAAGGAAGCTGTACGAGCCCTTGCACAGCTAGCTCTTTTTGGAAAGGAAACTCCAAAAAATTTGAATTGGAGAAGTGTGTGTGGGAAAGATGGAGTTCTTACCAAGGCAGTTAAGGTAATGATTCTCTCATTCTCTCCTCTTTGATCATATTATACCCACATCTGCAAATTTTGAAAGCTCCATAAAGTTTTGGAACTAATTTGTTTGTTAATTAGTTTTAGTCACCGTGCAGATATCTAATTCTTGTTACCCTTATTTTTTACAGACAAGAGTAAAGATGGAAGAAGAGAGGCTAAACTGTCTTCCAACTCATTTTAAGTTGCTGAATATGGACAGTGGGTTTGATTTGGACAAGGAGAGAGAATGCTTCTTTTGTTTCTATGACTTGCACCTATCTGCTGTAGGTTGTGATTGCTCTCCTGACAGATATTCTTGTCTTAAGCACACAAATTTGTTCTGCTCATGCGGAACGGACAAAAGATTTGTTCTGCTTCGATATACTATAAACGAGCTAAATAAATTGATTGAAGCATTAGGAGGAGAATTGCCTGCTATCGAGGTGTGGGCAAATAAAAACTTCGGAATGGTTTCTGCTGATGCCAATGAAGTTTGCATAGATAAATCAGTCATGGAGAGAGACATATACGAAACCAAGAGCCATGAAGAAGTGGAAATCTCAACTGGTACAAGAACCAGGTATTGTTCAAATTTAAATGTAACTGAGATTCCTTATATTGATAATAAGGTGGATAAGACAGCTTCTCTGGATTTAAATCTTGATGTTATGTCTGGTGAAAATGAAAACTGTTTGATGGATATTGCTGATAACCATCATATTAAGGGTGTTTCAGTAGAGGAAAAAGTATGTTGTTCAGAGGCCGGAAAGGAACAGGACAACATGGAACTTGGTGGTGACAGTATCCTATCACACTTGTCTTCTGTTGTGAAGACAGATTTTTCATCACGTACAAGGGATGTTCATAATTCTAGTACATTTGATGGTGGAAAATTTGCGGTGGATCTGCAAATGGATTCACATTCTGGAAAGCAGCCCAACAATGTATTGAAAAAGGAAGTCTCAGACACAACAAATACAAGTATATCTTTGGCAGGCGAAAGCTGCCTAATGCAAATGTTTGGTACTTCTGTCAAGCCTATAGGTTTGGGATCTGTTGTCCATGGAAAGCTGTGGTGCAGTAAGCACACAATATATCCAAGAGGTATGCCACATTAGGATATTTTCTGTGTTTGGAGATTTTACCTTTTACAGTTTTTTTTTTTTTTTGAACTTTTCTACATTTTGGTAATTTTTTGAAGGTTTCAAGAGTCGAGTTAATTTCTTTAGCATTCTTGATCCAACAAGATGTGTAACTATATATCTGAAGTCATTGATGCTGGATTTCTTGGACCTCTTTTCAAGGTATCATTCCTGACCCTGTTCCTGTTTTTGGTTTGAAAATGAAATCATATTTACAAATTACTGTTTCTTGATCTCTGTTATTTGTATTTCATAGCCACAAATTTTGTTGGTTTTAATTGTCATGAAATCAATAATCTGCCTGCTTCATCACCTTTGTAGTCCATTTATTTTATGATTTTCTTGTTATAAGATTGAGGTTGGCCATTCAGCACATGAAGGCTAATAGAAATCCTCTCTGATGTTGCTGAAAACTGCATTAACCCAGAAATTACAGAAACTGAGATAAGAAAGAAACAGAAATGGAAAATTGCAGCAACTAGGTTAACTTCCAATCCCACTCCTGAACTGAAGTATTGGCTACCTTCAGACTTGCTATCCTTCCCCCTTAGACTCTCATTTTCCACAACTGAATTCCTGCCTTCTCCCTCTACCAGCTTGGCATTTGGTTATGTTCCAGATTATCAGCATGAATATTCCCCGTTGTTTCCCATTCTGTCCTTACCCACGTGTATTGATCCTTTACTTCCCATCCCTTTCCTTGTAGCATACACCTTAGTAATGGGGGTTTATCATAGGCAAAGGAGCTGCAACAAAGGTGGTCAAATTACTTAAACACTAGCAGTCTTGGGATAGTAAATGGTCTTCAAATTGAGGAACATGTCTTCTTCAATTGACAGCTTCAATTTCTATTCATCTTTGTCCTCAGTTTAGTTTTAGATTTGGAAAAACCTAGTGCATCTGACCTTATTGGCTTTTGGAACTGCTATCAGTCAATAGTAGCTGTTCTTTTCTGCATATTCATTTATTCAACCAACTGGGATTGAATATTCCTAGATGAATGAGACAATGGCTATTTTGGGGTACCAAGGTCACCCATTGTTATTTGAGTGAAGTGTAGGAATGTTAGCTTTTAAAAGTTGTTATAATTCCTGAGTCCATGTAGCCAAACCCACTTAGTGGGAGTAAGACTTTGTTGTTGACGTTTTCAGTTGCGAATTTCTATTTCGTAATGCATTTTGGTTTAAATATTAAAACACACAGTTTCTCCGTTTCCAATGTAGACTCAACTTGAAGAATTTTTTTTTGATACAATGGTGGCACTAAGGTTTAAACTTATGACCTCGTGTAAACTACCCAAATCCCTCATCACTAGACCAATCCTATTGGCTTAACTTGAAGAATATTTTGTTTAAGCACTTTTCTCTATTTGCCTTATCTAAAATTAATTAGCTTATAATTGTTTGCCTCAGTATGAAGGCCTGTAATGCTTTGTGTAAGTACACTATAGCGTATGGTGTATTTGGCTAAAAAATAATGCTAGAGATTTATGGAACAGATTACTCGTAGGCTTTGTGTTGATGATTTCTTTAAGGGGGCAGGGGTTTTTTCCCATAGCTTGTGGAGGGATAGGGAATTAAGCCATTGTATTCTTCATTTTCTTTTTTATCTTCTTTTTTATTTTAATATTTTTGTTTGATTTGGGAAAACTTCATTTTTCCAGCTGTACTTTTCTCCATATTAAATGAAGGGAAATGTGAGCGTCATGTTACATGACACATCTTGTGTCATGCCATAAACACAAAAATGTGGGACCCACATCTTTATTTTATTTTTTCTTTATTTTTATTTTCAATGGGACCCACACTTTTTTGTGCCTATGGCATGACACAAGATGTGTCATGTAACATGACACTCACATTTCCCATTAAATGAATTTTTCTTTCATTTTAAAATACTTGGTTATGGTTGTTCCATTACGTGTCGGTGGGATAAATGTTTTTGCTGTCTTCTATGTCATGCTTTCTTATTGGAGGGTTTCTGGAGAAACCTAGTTGCTGCTAATTTTTGGCTGGTCAGAGGATTTGTAGTGGCACCACTGTCTGAAATTATGAATCTGACAAAATATAAATGAAACAAAGTGATAATTTTTTTTTTTTTTTCTACTCTAGGTTAAGAAACTCAATGTTGTTACTATATACTACTAGTTAATTAACTACATCTGAATTTTTATGGTTGTATTTATTTGCATTGACATGTCTCAATTGAAGTATATTTCTTTCTTATTCCGTAAAATATATTTCAGGTTACCTTGGAAGAATGTCCAAGTGAAGCTTTCACTGATACCTCAGCAGATAAGTGCTGGGAATCAGTTCTAAAGAGACTGCATCACGAAATAACTAGGCGAAGGAGTGTAGGTGAACTAGAACTTCCTCCCTTAGAGCTTCTAAAAAGCATTAACGGTCTTAGAATGTTTGGCTTCCTTTTACCATCCATTATTCAGGTAACATAAGACACATGATTCTTACTTATATTTTTGCCCAACTTGAACTACTAATATCACCTGTTTATAATTTTTCTAATGTAGAATTAAGTCACATAGTTCCACTCTCTTGACCAATTGCGTTGAACTAGATTAACATAGTTTATTATGATCAAGTTTGTTAAATGAGCTGAATTAATTTGAATGTAATTTGGTAAGAACTTAAATGACTCTTGTAGAATGTTTCCCTGGAATTATGTCCACACTTTGATGTTTTATTACATTCTGACTAATTTTTTCAGGCCATTGAAGCTCAAGATCTCAGTCATCGGTGCGTAGAGTACTGGAATCACAAAGTTGTCCCTGCATCTTCAGGCAGGGTCATTGATAAGTTAACGTATGGTTCAAGTAGGTCTTTAGGTAATGTCAATACCAAAGTTTTTGGTATTAATTTGATAAAGCAGGAAAAGGATAACATAGGAGGAAGTTGCCATTCCCTTGTAGAGATGAAACCAATACTACAAAGGGCAAGTTCTGATGAGTTAAGCACAATGCAGAAGTTATTCAGCTCTGATGCACAATGTTCTCAGTGGAGAATGGCTTTGGTAGCACTGATTGATGAGATCCAGAAAGCTGGTGGATAAAACAAGAATAAGATCCTAAATTCTTTCTGACTGTGGATAGTCATATTTCAATTTAGTAATTAGTTAGGTCCATTCTTTCAGAGATAAATTAAACTGAAGTTGCTGGGTGAAGCCGAGATAAAATTTTGCTACTTGCCCGCAATCAATGACCTAATTACAGATGGACAATGCCATTGACCCATTCAAACTTTCCTTTTTTAAAGTACATTTACATTTAAAGGTCTAGCCTTTAGGCTTTAGCTGTTGCTGGATTTGGGTTTTACATTTTTCTCCTTTCTTATGTTGCTGTATATACACAGAAAAATAAATGCTGCTATTACAATAAATGATAGAGAAGGGAAAACACATGGTGAAATCCTATATTCAGAGTGAACATGCTCCTGCTCAGAATTTTGTATACATGACCTTGTCTCAAGCAAACAACAATGCATAAATCCCCACACCCTGCATTATTTGTACTTAATTTGACTAATTTTGCTCTGTGTGTGACTCCCTCAAATACTCTACACATCAAACGCCCATAGAGTAATATCATTTTAATTTAGAAAAATAAGAATCGATTTCAAGTGACTTGGTAGAATTGAATTTCTGCTGGGACAGGCACTGCAGCCTCTTTTAGTGGATTTTACGAAGGATAGGAACATGCTGGGGAAATAGTATACTTATTTTCCTCTCAAATTGTGACCCAATTACTTCGGTCATAGTGTTTTGTAAAATAAGTTCTTTATTACAAGGATGGTAGCTAATAAAAGAATGAAATGTTTTTTTTTTTTTATAACAAAAAGTTTAAGTGAGGTTAGATATTGATATTCCTCTAAGGTCAGGGAAAATCTCTCAAATTTTTTGAAGATTTTTAAGAGAGATTACATATCACCCAACTGACAAAGTTCTCACATCGACCAGCAGGTTTGAATTGACATCCTTGTGGGATACGGATCAAACCTTTAGCCAACTGTGTTCACCTATGTCGTCAAAGAATGAAATGCTACTTATTAAGCAACTGTGCAAAACTAACTCCTATAAATTTAATTAGGAGTGTTTATCAACCGATTCAAACCGCGGTGACCAAACCGAATAAACTGAAAATCGAAAAACGAAAAAAATCCGCAAATTTTAATTGGATTGGGTCGGTTTTCGGATTGGTTGATGAAAATCTATCCAATCCAAACCGATACAATATATCAATTCCCTTCTACCTACTTGGGTCTTTCTCCAATCATAGCCCAAAAATTTCTTAACCCAAGACCCATTAATCCATCAATTAAACCCAAGAAAAAGTCTAGTCACATCTCATCAACAAAATTTTATCTCTGTAGAGCTTCATATTTCATTGCCCCACAAAAAAAACTATATATTATTGTTTACTAATGCTTTGGTATTTAAAAAAAAAAATTACAAAGTCACATGATCAAACCGAAGGGATTAGATCAAATGATTTTTACTTTTAAAACCAATCCAATCCAGACCGCGAACTCCCTTAAATTTAATACTGGATTTATTTTTCAAATACACTTAAATGAAAGCTGTTGTGTGAGATATGTAATGGCTGTGTTTTGTTACTTGAAAGAACTTTTATTTTTCCTTCTTTTTTCTTTTTATCTTACGCGTTATATTATGTTATTTTATATTATATTATAAGGCATAGAATGGTATCTGAATGATTTGGATCATTAATTGACCCTCTTAGACACATGTAAAATGCACATTGATTGTCTGTTACGTTGGTTTGAATAATAAGATTTTCATAATAATATGCATTGATATGTAAATATCGTCTGGGGTACGTTTTTAGCAGCTGGTGAGAAACACTTTGCTAATAGTCTAATTATGAATCATTGATTCTTTTTATCTAGAGTTTGGTGAAGGTGAAAATAGAGATTGGAAAACATGAAATAAAATGAAAAATAATGCCCAATCACCTTACCTTTCTAATGTCTCTCTTGTTACACCATGAAGTCTCAACTTAAATTGTTTACTTTATTTATTCATAGATGAGAATGTAATTCCGTGTTTTTATTCATGTTAGGTACAGCGATCCCTGGCCATGGTATCTACCTAGTTGGCCGAGGAAGAAAAATAACGAAAAATCTAGTTATAGAGGAATGCACATGTCCAATCTGAAATTTAACTTTTATCTGGCTATCTACCTAGTTTATTTTATGTAGTTTTTTTATTTTACTTTTATAGAATGGATTCAATTATTGTGAGTAGTGCATCTCAGCCAAATTCAGCGGATGATGTAAATTATTATGGAAAAACGTTACCAAAGTAAACACTGTAACGGAAGCATGAGGGAATATATCTTGGAAATGCAATTTTGTGCAAACAATATAGAAGTTTGTATACTAGAGTAAGGGCTCATTCGTTAAAATTATCAAGTAAAGGAATTGCAAAATGTTTATATGTCAAAACAAAAGACTTGCTAGATATGGAAAAATTAGAACAAGAAACTAATGAGAGATTGAAGAATAATGCACCAAAAACTTTACCTTTATCCCCTTCTAGCTTTTTCATAGATTCCAACTCGAAAACAAGAAGTGGGAGTGAGGGTGGAAGTTCAACTAGAAGTCCTTCTGAGAGTGCATTCAATGTTTGGGGCATGGGAAGAATTAAATCACTTAATTGCTATGATACTTTATTCAACAGGACAGTCATTCAATTGAGCAAGAAACCCATATTTTCAAGCCACTTTCACTTATGCCACGAATCATAATATTGGAGTTTGCCACCAGGATACAACTCGTTGTGAACCACTCTTTTACAAAAAGAGAAGGAAAATATTGATAGGTTGTGTGCACCTATTCAAGGTGGATGGAATGAGAAGGGTGTTAGTATTGTGAGTGATGGATGGAGTGATTCACAAAGGAGACCATTTATTAATTTTATGGCAGTATCTGATGGTGAATCTATATTTTTGAAATCAGTTTGATTGTTTAGGAGAGATCCTAGCGTTTTGACATTCATTAGTGGTGGCATCTTTGCTATTGCTTCTACTTTGGCTTGATCCACTTCTATTCTTTTCTGGAAATTTATGACCCAAGACGATTCCTTCTTTCACCATGAAGTGGCATTTTTCCCAGTTAATCACCAGATTAGAGGATAGGCATCTTTGGAGGACTTCTTCTAAGTTATCGAAGCAGTGGTTATATGACGTTCCCAGCACCGAAAAGTCATCCATGAAAACTTCTAGTCCTTCACCTATCAGATGGGAAAAATAGAGAACATACATCTCTGGAACGTTGCTGGTGCATTACATAACCCGAAAGGCATCATTCTGAAAGCAAACGTTCCGTATGGGCAAGTGAAGGTGGTTTTGTGTTGATCTTCTGGTGCTAGAGCAATTTGATTATACCCATAATAACCATCAAGGAAACAGAAATATTCCTTACCTGCTAGATGATCCAACATCTGATCTGTAAAGGGAGTGGGAAGTGGTCCTTTCTAGTAGCATTATTGAGCTTTCTATAATCTTGAGAGATTCTCTACCCTGTAACTTTCCTTACGGGCATTAGCTCATTTTTCTTATTTAATTCTACTGTTATGCCCCCTGTAACACCTCGTGTATACCCGGAATATTAACATTACATCGTATTAAGCGGTGCTTAATTAAGAATGCAGAATATTCTTTTTCTTTTCAATTATGACGTCATTATCAATTACCAACTTGATTACTTAATCAATTTCATAAAATAACGCCTGTATGTAGATTGCAGTAAGACATCTACTGAAATACCTCAATATATAGATAAAGTATGTATCTAAATCACGGCATTACATCAAGTAATCCGGACAATATCCTGGTACATTATTACAACTCCAAAAGACTCAAGACATAACCAAGACATAATAATACTATGTGTCATGGACAATCCCCATGCTCACCAAATAAACATAGTAAACAACAAGTCTCAACATAAAAATCCATAAACATAAACTGAAGCTATAAGCATAAGCAGCATGCAATTCCAGCATCCAATCATGGCAGCATAATATAACAGCAATCTAACTCAGCTCCGGCCTCCTGCTGCCTGAGGTCTCAACATTACCTGACCCTGAAATAAGCATTCCCCAAACGTGGGGTGAGATCTCTAAACTAGAAATCTCAGTAAGACAAGGGGTCCTCAAGGATCTTCCACCCCAAGCTCACTTACATGTGCAATATAAGTTCAAAAAGCATTTATATCATTATCAGTTCCAAAACTATGTAGTGCAACAGATATCTATGGCATGTGTGTAATCACTATCTACTGGCCAGAGAAATGTAGGAATACGTCTATTCCCTACATGTAGTACAAGGAACACCGCTTGCACCTCACCCACAGCCTCACCCTCTTGTATGTTCTACATACTCAGGCTTACCGTATAGGTGGAACACCTCCATGCATATCAACAAGGCACTAACATACAATAGCTCAACAACATTTCCAAAACATCAAAAGCATGTAACACAGCATGCATATAACCATACCCCCATGGGACATGGTGGAACCACAACATGGCTAAACCGAGGACACGAAAGCTTACCTCCAAGCTAGCTATCCAATGCCACAAGCTCAGAGTCCAATCACAGCAGATCACAATCTAATATGGACCAAATATAAATCAATAAACATGTACCACATGCATACAAATTAAAGACAACGCCTTTTCATTACGTTTTCAAGTTTTAAAGCTTCTAACAAAGCCACAAGCCCTTAATCCCATGATTCTGGCTTAGTCCATTTAAAAACAGAAGTTCAACTTCAACAATCTAGGGTCTACAAACCCCCAATAGCCTACTGTATGCACAACACAGCTACTGTTCTGCGAAATCCCATAATATCCGGATACTCCTCGGGACCATATCCGGATATGCAATATCCGGATATCCAGAATCCCATATCCGAATACACAATATCCAGATATCCCAAAACCCCATATCCGAATACACATATCCGGATATCATATCCGGATATTCCACGGGCAGATATCCGGATATTTCACGACAGAATGCATTTTCTGCATTTTCATGAAGATATCCTTTAAAGGTTCCCTTTTACCGATTTAAACACCTAATCATGCATTTTTAGGCGTGTTCAACATTACCCAACAACAAGTTATCATCTTTTAGTCATTAGATGCATCAAGGTACCATTTTTAAGCCTTAAAACTCAAATTAAAGGTTGGTGATCATACCACAGCTCAAAAACAGCAAAGGGAGATGCTCTGGGAGCTCAACACAGCTCCTCACAATTCTGACTAAGAAGGTGCACGAAAATGCACCACAAGATGGCTCATTTCTCCACAAAGATAGACACTTGGAGTTCACAAATGGCAAGACCAAGGCTTCCACTACTCAACCTCCAAACTCACCCTCAAGACTGACTCAAACAGTTGCTAAGACTCAGAAAAGACCCTTCTTTCACTCCCACAAGGCTGCTCCCAAGTGTTTACAAGGTGGAAATGTGAAGAAACTCAAGAAAGATCACAACTTGGCTCAAGAAATGGAAGGGAAAGCCAATGGAACAGTAACCAGCAAATGGTCAGCCTCAACTCACGTATAGAAATCTGATCCTAGGGT